GAATGCCGAAGGCTTATCAAAATAAACCTGTCGAGCCTCGGGCACGAGTGTATTTTCGTAAATTGACTGCATACATTATATAAAACCGGAAATTATGTTAAAATTCGTAGGAATTACACATTGGGAGTACGTGACCTTTTAATAAAGTCGTCTAAATTACATTAATTTAAACGTGAGCCCAAGCCCTTTCATTCATACCGCTGGCATGCTCGGCTAAGCTCGACTCGACCCGGCTCGTTTCGTGCCCCCACCCCCCGGCCATCACTCCAACTAACAGCGACAACAACAACAATAACAACAACAACAACAATAACAACAATAACAACAATAAGGACAACGACAACGACAACGACGACGACGACGACGACGACGACGACGACGACGACGACGACGACGACGACGACGACGACGACGACGACGACGACGACGACGACGACGACGACGACGACGACGACGACGACGACGACGACGACGACGACGACGACGACGACGACGACGACGACGACGACGACGACGACGACGACGACGACGACGACGACGACGACGACAACCACGACACAACGACAACAATAATATAGCCAAAAAAGGACAATTAAACGGCAGGTTTGCAATTCAGCATGAAGTAAGCGTCGATTCGAAAACACGTAGGAATTCGCTGTTAATGCTCATTAATTCGGCATAGAAATTGCTCGGACCGTGCGGCCAAATTACGGAGTATCGCGCGCCGTTAGCCAAAGGCCGAGCGTGCGATTCTTTGTTCTCATCCCTCGGCGCCCACGCGCACCGAAAAGAATGCAACGTAGTTGTGCAGGGGCAGGAAGCTCGTTAGTATGGTTTATTTCCTCGAAATTTTCGGCAACCGGCGGCACACATCGCGATAAATTTAATTGCGGGCAAGCCGTCCCCGTGGCCAGAGTCCCGGACGGCTGTCGCTCTCGCGGAGAGGCGCCGAGCGAAACCGAGCCAGAGGTGAAGGCAGGTGCTGAAATAATTGCGCGCTTTTGTGCCGCGCGTCCCGTCTTCTCTTTCGCTTTTCAAGCGCTACGTGTGTGCGTGCTCTACTCGTCACTCTCTCTCTCTCTCACTCTCTCTACCTCCCTCCGCTCTCTCTCTCTCTCTTCTATCTCTTCTCATTACCCATCCATCCATCCATCTATCTATATATATATATCTATCTATCTATCTATCTATCTGTCTGTCTGTCTGTCTGTCTGTCTGTCTGTCTCTATCTATCACTATCTACCTCACCCTTTACCATTGCTTTCTTCGACCGCGAGTGTCTCGCGCTTCATAATACGCGTCCACCGTCGCGAGCGAGCCAACGACTCTTTATTTTGTCCGTATTTTTTATGTACTCTACGTCCGTACGTATGAATGCACGTGTCGTTCACGTTTGTCATCGTTCCTCCGTGGACTGTCTGGCAACGCGAGTTGACATCCTCGTGTAAAGTGAGCCTCTATGTATTGGGCGCGCGCCCGCGCCAAGTGTTTGCTTTCATCGCTTTGTCTTTGATTCTTTGATTGCGTGGATTTACCGTATGCATTCGTAGCCGTGAGCAACACATCGAAAAGCTAAACAATACATGGTACGTCTAGCTGGCTCATCCAGCCGCTACGCCAGAGCAATTTTTATCAAAACAATTGCGATCGTTTTGTTTATTTTTTTTTTCTATTTATTTATTTATTTTTTTATTTTTTTACCGGCACTCTCTTATCCGCGGATGCAGTCTCTAAACATTTACGCCCGATGTTCGAAGGATATCGTTTGGTAATTACTTTTCATTCAACCGCGCTTTCATGCCCTATCTCTTAATACCGTATTCGGATGGCGGGTGGGTGGGGAGGAGGAGGAGAGAGGAGGTGGTTGGAAGCTTCATTCGCCTTTTGAAAAATTACCAAGTACAGATAGAGAGACTCTGTACAAACTTGAATCGATTCGTTTAAATTTCCATTAGCCGATGCACGAACTCATTCCACCGACTATCGAAACTTTATTACTTCCTAAGCATGAAAAGTAGAATCATCAACTATTCATTCTAATTAATAAGCGATATGCACTCAATATATAATTGGATATATAATTAAAATTCCGGAGCTCCTAACTAAGCTTCTCCGATATAACGATAGTCTGACTACAATACAAAAAAGTCCTCGACAAGTTTATGATTATTCGTCAAACGTTTCCGAAAGAGAAAAGGGCACGCGCGCGCACGCGCACTCACGTACACGAGCATTAGGTTACACGAGTATTTTCTTAATGAAAATAATTACAAGCTGTAGTTACGTACTAAAAGCCGGAAAAAGCTCGTCGCCTTAAACACGATGAACTTCGCATGATTCCTAATTTGATCGCTCATGAATAAACATGGCGGGCAAGTCGACGGGAATATCTCGGTGCTGCGTTGGGGCCGAGAAATACCTTGAGCATCGGTGGTGTAAGACGAGGATCCGCGGGCCCACTCGTTAAGCCCGAGAATCGCCAGTCATCGGGCATTCCGCAAAAAGATGCCTAAAGTGCCGTTAGCCCATTAATCAAGGATTTCCGCGGAAGCATCGGCCGCGCGCCGCGTCTCGCGAGATGTTTGTATAAGAAGAGACGCGCTTCGGCATAATAATGCCAAGGCGGAGTGACAGGAGTGGTGACTAGCATCGACAACAGCGCCGGCAACAAGAACCCGCCGTCCGTCCGCCTTCTCCTCTTCCTGACGAATGCTCTTCATTATTCTCATCCTAAATCCTGCCGCGTGCATTCGCGTCTCGCGTCTTTAACCCGCCCGCCCCTCAAGCCTCTTTTTCATTTACGGAATCGTAATAATTCAGTGGGCGCGCCCGCGTTTATTTCGTTTGGACATGTTCTCTCTTTTCCCTGGATTCTCGGCTACTTCGGCGCCCCGCTTTATTGCGGATTTAACGCTTTAATGATCCTAATGCCGGGATTCGACCGGGTGGGACAGCGCTCGTCCCATTGCTCTCGCTCAGTCATTTCCCAGCCGATTGAATTTCTGCCTTTGTCGTATCTGATAAACTGCCAGGAAGCGATCCTTCCGGAGACTTGGGACATAATTGCGTTACAAGTGCGCCGCTGAATAGTTATGTTCAATTCGGGCCTTTTGCCTAGCACTGTGTTGTCAAGTGCGTGACCAAAGTCACAATACGATGACCATTAATTGAAGCAAAAATGCTTATTTCACTTACGCAATTTTTCACGTTTTTCTTTTCATCCACGCGTCTTACTGGCATGGAAAGAGGACCAAAGGATCTTTTGGTATTAAGCAAGGAAATATTATTTTACGAGCGAGCTCCTTTGTGATAAATAAAGATCCTTTGGTAATATTCAAAATACTCGAGTCATAACAATAATAACAATAACAATAACAACAACAACAACAATAATAATAATAATAATAATAATAATAATACGTTTCGTCGTAACGTGAAGTATAGACCTTTCAATAAATTTTCAATGCGTAAAATTTATTTTCTTACTTCGAGTGTAAAGTGATAGTCTCTACTTAGAAACTCAATCACCTATATAGACACGCTCGCTTGGATTTTCTGTTACAATACCAATAAACAAAATTCTTCTTGTTAAAATAGAAGTAAATTTTTCTCCCCTATGTCGGGGTTGAAATTTTGTTTTTGTTTTTGTTTTTTTTTTTAAATTCGATTTTTCGAAGGACAACGACAATACCGTTTGGTAAAAGTACGATCGCTTTATTTTAAGAAAACCGTTTTCACAGCATGAAAATATTTTGTTTTTGAGAAACACTTTGCAGCAGTGGAAAGCGTACATTTTCTACAAATGGAGCACGAAACGCCATTCCCATCGATTTTCCCTCGGCACATTCGCCGAAACTTCAAATTAAGTCCCATGAATATTTTGATGAAAGCAACCAATTGGCCACATAAGAAATATTGGCCAAACGGAATTCAAAGTCGACGGGCACAAGTCGACTGCGAAAATGCGGAAACAATACCGTTATGACAAAAATAATCTACGGCATTACGAACTTTTAGAGTCGCGGCAAAGTGTATTTTAAAATTATGCGACATAAATTCACCGAACGGATGCTCTTTGAGATTTGTTGCTCCATCGAAAATACGCGACAGAACGATCTTTAATATCTGTACCGGCAACTACAAAGTAAATTAGGGTAAAATTGCTTTCGACAAAAGGCTTACCGAAAGCACAAACATTGGACGAAGAGGCAGGATGGGACATAAAATACACCTCTAAAGTATATCCGACAACTTTCCGAGCGGCATCGTGATGGATAAAAAGTTTACACTTTACGTAAACGCAGCGTCGGGTGTAGCGCGGAGAGATGGGAAAATTTTGCCACGTTAATACATAATTGACAAAGAGCTAAAAATTGCCGTCTCCCAAGCTCGGCCAATTGAAATGCGCGACGACGATGCCGACCACACGAAATCCCCCCAGACTAATACATCTTAATGCAACTCTGGTTGACATCTCAGGTGAAATCAGAAAGGACGCTCTCGGCTGCCGGAGACGCGGTTAATCCGGCGATTCACGTCGCGTCGTATCCTCGAATAAAGCTGGCGCGCATAAAGCAGCCGGGAACCGGTGGGCACAAATTGCTTTTCGGCGACCAGCACGCGGACGGACTCGTAATCATTAATCCTCCTCTAGTTATAAGGGCCGACGGCTGGCTCCGGCCAGGATGGCGTGGTGAGCGGGGGGAGGGGGGGGGGTGAACAATTGAAAAGCAATCTCGGCTATTAAGCCAGGGCGCACTTGGTTTCGAGGATGCGCGCCAAGAGGCGCAACCACTCACCTTGGGGTCAAAGTTGAAGACCTGCTCGGGCCTGAGCGGACACTCGAGGCCGCACTTGCAGGTCCCTGCCGTTGTCAGATACTCCTTGAGCTGCTCCAGCGAACCCAGCGCCGTGCTGCTCGGACTGCAACATACAAACACACGCCATTTATTATTATTTTATTTCTGAGTTCGAGAGTTCCCAGCTCCACCTACGCCCAATGCCGCGAAAAGTGCGCTTAAAGGAATCAGGCGCGAGCGCGCGGCCCGATAGGGCAACGCGCAGGTAAGGAGTAAATTTAAGAAAAATAGCGAAGGTGAGTGACCGTGTTGAAAGCACAGGCAATCGAGTGTCTTTCGAAGACATAAATTATATCGTTGGGCACTTTGCTTGTGAGCAGTGCACTTTTAATATGCACATGTATAGCTGAGCGAGAGATTGTTTGTTTGTTTGTTTGTTTGTTTGTTTGTGTTTGTGCGTGGGTGTTTGTTTGTGTTGGTGTGTGTAGATGTGGCTTTTGTGCTTGCGTGCGTTAGAGTGAGCGCGTGCGGGCGCGTATTATTTTGTTAGACGTGTGCGTGTGCGCTCACGCGGGACGTGTGGCGTGTCTGCCGCCTGTCATATTTACATCAGGAAATTTATCACTTTCTATATTCGCGGCTAAATGTTCTTAACCATGACTGCTAAAAAGACCAGAATGTTTATACTTTACACGTACGTCAAATTAAACATTCCATTTTTCATATTTAAACGAGGAAAAGTATTGGCTCTCCAACACAATTTAACCTTTAAGAATGAAAATTTCTGCACGCTGTAATAAAATCCATAATTAAAAGCGTTGCGAGCGTGCCCCGATCGTGACAGACAATAATTATTCCTCTCCCGTTCCTTTTTTCTTTTTCTTTTTCACGATCGTTATACAAATATTAATTTCCCTCTTTTAAAAAGTTTCAACGCCCGCACTTAAGGTACGTAAAGCATTTAATTTCTGAATCAACATTTTCCGCCCGTAAATAAGAGAATTCCACACTGTTGCCTACATTGGTGAGGGGGGGGGGTAATAAAATAAATTCGCATTAAATAAAGCGAGCTACGCCTTCGATGATAATATGAAGCGAATAAGTAAAGGAGGAGAGAAAAAAGCAATTTACGATGAAAACCCGCTTATAACGGCACTTCATTGTCCTCCTGCATAGCATTTATTGTTTCTGAAATTAGCGACTCGGCGAGGGTAGAAAACCAACAAGCGGTGACCGGAGAGAGAGAGTGAGAGTGAGAGTGAGAGGGAGAGTGAGAGAGAGAGAGAGAGAGAGAGAGAGAGAGAAGAGGAAAATGGGAGATGAGAAAAAGGTTCTTTGCTTTATCGTCCAGCCAAGTAACACCGCAAGGAAAAAACAATAGCCAAGAGATTTGCCCCTTTTCATCAAGGAAATCGAAGGGGGGTAAAATAAAGGTGTAATTTCATCATTCAAGACGTGACTATTTAATGGCTTGCCTCGAGCGATACGTATAAATCAATTGTTAATGATACTCTAAGCAATAAAACTTTTATGCAATGGCAGAATAATTTTGTACTTTTGCGTATTAGGCCATTTCATTGATTAACCAAATATTAATTATCCTACGAGTTATACTTAACGGGTAAACTCCTTACAATAAAGGAACTAATTCACTCCAAAGACATTTACATCCAGGTATTATAGATTAAGAGCCACAAATATATATTCTTAATACATACAATGGGATGCCTATTAATAGGCATAAAATTAAAAGTATCTTTTATGCAGCAGTTAAGGAATTAAAATTATTGTTGAGTTTACGGTTATGGATAGCCAATCGTTACAGATTGCCTCACTCAGCCAATTCCAGGGCTACGGAAATTTTTCTTGCAAATATTTCAATGTTATCCCATCCTCCCTCGATTGCATAAATATCAAAATCAATGGCATCCATGAACATTAATGGTAGGCTCCCCTTCAGTCGGAAAATAAAATCAAAGTGCTCTCGGGTAAATAATAGCGCAATCATTATCTACGGTAAATGAAGGGCATCGAAAGAATTAAAACTTAGTAAGCATAGCTCCTTGCGGTCTCATAAATTAATTATGAGTCTTATCATCGCGCAAATCGAGCCTACATCCCCGTTATCGGAACATATTCCTATCCAGGTTGACCATTAATCCCGTCCGTCGCCAAATTGCCTTCGTAGAAGAGAACACGGGCATCACGTTGTAGGCCGAAAGTCTGGCGAGGACGCGGGGACAGATAAGAAACCGAAACAAAAACAAAAGGTTCCGTAACACGCGCATAAGAGGGAGAGTAACAAAAAAAAAAACAAAAAACAAAACAAAAAACAAAAAAAAAACAAAGAAAAAAGAAGAAAAAAAAGGCGCAGAGCCACCACGGAGAAAAGAAATGAGGGAAGTTATCCCCTCGTTGTTTATATCGATTACCCGAGCGAATGGCTACACGAGGACCTTCGCAGGCGCAGCTTCCTAAACTAATAACCCCCGGGAGCGAGGGCGAGGCGAAAGATAAAGAAAGACGCATTAAAGCTTTCCCTCCGCACGCGCCCCCGACCCGCCCTGCCGACATAATTATTGACCGCGATAATGAAACGTCGGATTTTAATGCAGGCGTGCGCGTGCGTCCTCGAAACGAGGTAATTTATATATTGTGGCCTAGAGAGGATGGCCGAGATGGCGCATCAGGATGGCGAGGAAGAGGGGAGGGAGGAAGGAAGCGAGGAAGTTCGGATTTTGCTCCAGCGCCCATTTCAACCCCCCCGAAGCCTCACGCTCTTCGTATATAATAAATAAGGCTTAACACTATTAGCGATGATGCTCTTGTTTTTTTTTCTTCTTTTTCTTCTTCTTTCCTTTTCTTTACTTGCCTTTCTCCTTCTTTTTACGATATGTGTGTATATTAGAATTGCCGGTATTGGTAGATGCTACGCGATATTAGGGGATAACTCAATTTGGTCCTACGTGCCGTTACGAAGACAACATTCCTCCGGCTGGTTATTTTCCAGGATGCTTTTACAGCGTGCCGTGGGCTGTACTTTTCTAAAAATTAATTACTACCGTAAATTTATTTAGGATCATGCCCAATTAATTCTTACCCGCACTCTTGTCTACATTGTAACGGGGTTATTAGCATTATTAATTTAATACGCTCTTCTGTGTTATTGTGCCTTACAACTGCGAATCAATTCTCATATTCTTAATACTATTATTACCATTATTATAGCTATTATCATTAATCTTGTTATAACTGTTCTTGTAAATCGTCGACATTATTATTATTGTTTATTATTATTGTCATTAATTATTATTGTTGTTGTTGTTGTTGTTGTTCTTATCGTTGTCGTTGTCGTTGTCGTTGTCGTTCTCGTTGTTAGTGGTGGTCTTATTTTCGAAATGTTGTTATCGGCTGAATAAGCATACAAGTCTAGGCAATGCTTTCCTACCTCTCTTACAAGTTCACATTTTTCGATATTTTCCGAGCGATTGGCAAGGAGAAGTATACATCGGATAAGTAGAAAAACACACATGCCATTTGATCTTAATCCAGCCGACCGCACGAGTCGAATTGAGAAATCGGAAATAAATAAGTAAGAGACGGATAGATAGAGAGGGACATGGAGGGTTAGCGAGGGAGGAGAGGTGAAGCACGATTCGCCAATTTAAAAAAAAATGTTTCTTGTCTATGTCTATTTGTTTTTACTCCACTCTCGGTTGAGCACAATGATGAGTCATCTAAATCATGTTACCCCCGAGCGAACGATTTCGAATAAGTACGGGAGGCAAAAAATTGTTTACCACCGTAGAATTTTAAATTCGTAAGGGAAAAATCTTTCGCCTGGTCTCGCGTATCAATCACTCGGCGAGGGTAAACGAGGCGACCGTTCACGAGGCACATAATGCAGATAAGCTTCCCTCCCTTTATTTTCCAGGCGATCTCTCGCGTGCTCTAGTAAATTGACGCCAAGATAAGTAACTGAACGTACGGGTGAAGGAGGTGGAGTTGCGCGTAAAGAAAGAACGGAGAGGAGGAGAAAGACCGAGGGACGTACGTAGAGACGACGTCTTCCTTACGATGAAACCAAGTCACGGGTTGATGGACGTCCGACGAGAGACGCGCCGGATTTCGTCTTTGAAAAGGAAGCTTTATCTCGGAGATAATGCAAGCTCTCCTCGCGTATATACGAAGAATAAGGGAGCCACAATTTTTGTATTTCGTTCCTCGGCATCTTTATTAGGAATATAGGGTGGGGGCGGGGATGACTCCTCTTATGCGGATGCTAAATTTTTTATTAAAAAGATCGGAAAGGCGGGATTACAGTGTTTGTGCGATGAGAGTTGCTGAATCTTAAACGAGATATCGATGTGGACTTTAGCTAATATTGCGGCCAACTTTCATTATCCTTTTATACAATATGGATTGAATAAATTTTCGATACTTTTCTATAATTTATATATCGCTTTAATTGTGACGGATTTCGCTCCATTGTTCGTCGTTTGCATACCCTCGTAAATGATAAATCCACGCGTCTAATATTTAATATTATTCGTCATAATTATGATAGAACTTTTGTATTTATGTTAAGCTCGATTACAATTACAGATGAGGAAAGCTCATCAATTTAACACCAATTGTTGCCGTCTAGAGCAAATAAATTATTTATAGCACGATACACTATGCAATAAAAGCATTATTATTCATTATAAATGAATAGGTATAAAAACACTTCGTGAAATTCATTATGATCTTACGTTTCTTTATTGATTGCACGTAATTCGGTGATAATTAAAGATAACCTTTTCTCACTAGGGAAATAAGTAGTAACGTATTAAGTCGAGTGCACAGGAATTAATTTAAAGTAAAAGCCAATTTTTCATACGGATAATAGTAGCAGCTTATTCCAAGCGCACATTAACACTTTAATCTGAAACATTTTTACGACACTGTAAATAAGTAAATAAATATATACGTACGTACACACATGCAAGCATACATACGTGTAACGTGCAACATGTGTGTGTGTGTGTGTGTGCATATATATATATATATATATATATATATATATATTTATATATACATATATATATACATATATATATAATGTATGTACGTTTAAACAAA